GTAAATACCGTTACACCCACGAAATCATAACAAAAACAAACTCTGAAAAACATTCTTAACAAGGGATGGCCGGAGAGTTATATCTCTCGATTCACTAAATAAATAAAAAATAAATAATTGTAAACTGTTCAAGGGAAATTAGTTTTCGATGGGTGTATAGAACCTCAGTTCTGTAATCCAACACTTGGACTGTACTTGAAACTGCTGCGTATTGGCTCAGATATTATGCACGAATTGTTATTAACCGCTAAAAATGTCTGCTTTAATACAGAACCCGGTGAAGCCAGCCCGTGTTTACACTATAAAGTTTTTGAACTTAGTAGCTTGAACACGATCGGATATTAAAACGCTAAAAAAGGTTATTGTTAGTTGTAGTTATAATGATTATATAACTAGATTCAATAGCGGCGAAGTAAAACATTCTTCCTCAAAATGTGCCGCTCACAACAATATGTCTTTTCTTTTACGGAGCTTGTGTCTTTTSTTTTACATAGCTTGAAGTCCGTTTTATGCAAACGGACAAACTTTGTCCATTTTTCACGTAATCCTSGGTCGCTTGGTAATGGAAACATTGATATCTGGATATCTGGAGTATAACTGTTATTCATGCAGCCAATGTTATTTTAATATCCTGCCACGCAATATCTGCCTTTGTTTTTACGATTTGTGAGAGTGAAACTGCTCAATTGGACCGCCATCTTTGCAACTATAACAGATCGCGACCCAACAAAATGACGTAATATAACGCTTTTGGCCGAGCGGAAAGACCAAATTTTGGGTGAAAAATCACAACTTTTACAGCGGAAATCGTTGCATTGCGACCTCTTTCTTTTGAAGTTTGTCTGGATTCAATCTGAGGGGCGGAGCTTTTCGAAAACTCGTTCAATCATTGGCTGATTAGTATCAATCTCCGCCCCCAAGTCGCAGAAAAACTCAAATCCCAACTATTTCCTTTGAACATTGAAGTCGCGATGCAACGGTTTCTGCTTTAACGCTCATAACTTTGCAGCTTTTTATCAGATTTGGTTAAAACCCGAGATTTGAGGTTTTTGAATAGCGTTCTTTGAATGAACAAAAAACTGTTTTCATGTCATACGTATGCCCTTTAAATAAAATACATTTTACCTTAATCTCATGTGGCATGCGGCATGTCTATAAAATCAATGGGTTTTTTTGATCCCATACATTAACTGTAAAGCTGAAATGCTCAGATTACGATGAGCATCGATGAAGAACATTCTTCGAGCGAATTTTATTACCCTGAGGCTAGTTTGAGTTGAACCAAAAACACATGGAAAATGATAATATYCAAAGTGAAGTTCAAACTCCGAGCAGCCAAGAGCAAATTCAGTTGTTTGTAGCAAACCAGAATGCAAAAATTAGGACAATAAGAAAAATAAAGATCTTGAACATTCAATGTATCAAAAAAACTCTGACAAAATACATTGAGGTTGAAATCTTACCGGCAGAAGTGCTAATCCACTTGTTTTCAGACTATCAATGGCTGTCTTTTCTATTCCATGTCTTAACAAAACATTTTCAATTTCGTTCCAGTACTTGTGGAAATCAGCGTCTGATAGAGCTGGTTCAGAGATGTGACTACAGAGATTTCTACGGTATAATCTCAGCCTTACTACATCGTCTTCCACGTTAACACTTGTTGCTGCAGGCTCCTTGTCCCATCCATTGACAGGTGTTGGCAAATTGCAGATATTGCGCAACAGGAAAAATAAGAGAATCATGTCAAAATCTGCAGATGTTGCCGATCCTAAAGCTGGATACAGTCTGTTCCACTGCTCTGCTGTTAGAAAAAATGTTTTAGCCCTCAAATTCTTTAAGATATTATGAATCCGGCTGTCCATCAAATGTTTTTTTAGATCATGAGGTGGATGCTTGGTATCAAAAATGGCTCTAAGGGCACGAGTTCCTCCATCCATAAGTAATTTAACCAATCGTACAAAATTAGTGTTTTCTTTTGTAATGACGGACCATCCAGTAGCCATCTTGTCTCTCTGTAGATCGCAAATATACAAGACATAACCAGAGATCAAACATACATGTATATAAATGTAACTTAAAATTATCGAAAATGTTTTCAAAAAAGTGCTCAACTTTTTTTTTTGTGCTCAACTTTTTTTTTTATAAATGTATATAACCTAGATGCTAGCAAAAGGTTTGCATTCTATCGTACCTTTACTATCTCCAAACAATCCTTGATTGTAATTTGTACCACGTACAGTAACTGGAAACCAGAGGAAGTACTTCTACCTTGTATATCCAGTTACTTCTACCTTGTTTCCAGTTACTTCTACCTTGTTTCCAGTTACTTCTACCTTATTTCCAGTTACTTCAGTATTTCAGCTCTTTTAAGAATAAAGCTTTTGGAATTCGAGACGGGATAATTTTGCTTAAATTATCACGTGATTTCTATTGTGTGATCAAAAATTGCTTTATCAGGGTGGCTCCTTTTAATTCSTAAATCSAGCTTGGATTGGTCTCGAAGTTGACTTGACCAAAAACTTCAGGCGCACGCTCGTAATTTTGTTGGAAATTTACAAAAGCTTAAGTGGAGATTTTTCACARTTTTGCCTTGCAGGAATWTATTTTTAGGCCCTTCGGGCCGTGCAGAAATATTATTTTCAAAATCTTCCAGGCCCCCTCCCCCTCCCTCCCTCAATTCTAATGGATCGCTCCTTACCTTTCAAGATGTCACGCCGTCTCGTTTAGTTTTCATCCAAAGCAATGCATTACATCGCTTATTGTTCTCTGAATAAATATAATATCAAAGTTTTAACTTAAAAAAAGTTTTAACTTTAAAAAGTCTGATCATCTTGTGGYTAAAATCGATCTTCTGCTTTTAACTCCGTCTGATGGTAATCTAGCCGACAATTTATAATGTTATGTTTTATAAATAGAATTATGAAGAACCGCTTTTAAAGCTTACAGTAGTGGTACTTTACTTTAGCTTTTACACCGACAGAATACAAAGCCAAAGAAAAGGCTATATGGATTATGTGTCTTTGATTTTTTACCTTCGAAGGTTTCGACTTAAATTTCAGAATACCAATACGTASTTCGTTGCAATCAATCACGCATCACATGACGCATCAAAGGTATCAAATTATCGCAGGGAAATCCGAACCAAACCTTCTGCYTCACACTCGTTCTAATGGTACCTTGAACTGTAGTAAATATTGTCGTCTTTCACATGAATCAAATGATATATACACGTTGGTAAATCAGTGGCTGAAGCTCGAAAGGAATCAAACAACACCCAACAAACTTCCTTGACCTTTATGCAAATGAGTTCGTAGAACTGCTTTGTCAATATATCAACCGTGTCCATCCACAGGCAACCCAATCAAGACAGTTGAACCTAAACGGCAGTTTAGTAGGGCCGGACCTTTAGAAATCCTGGGAAGGGGGGGGGGGGGGGGGGACAATTACCAAAATGAATGATTTGAAATAAGAAAAAAGGTTACTGGAACATGTCATTAATAATATATACAATCATAAAATATGTTATTGCATATAAACTCTAATGTAAATACCTTACACAGAGGCAATAATAAAATATATTGTATCTTGATATAGCAAATTCCAATTTGAAAAGTAGAGTGAGATAGAAAAAAAAAATTCCTGCAGAGCTGCCAAACTCCAAAAATAAATCCTGCAGAGAAACACAGGTATAAAAAATATTCGTGCCTAAAAAAAATGTTTACCCCTCCCAGGATTTCTAATGGTCCGCCCCTTATACAGTTAAAGTACCGCTGCTTCTCCTAATCGACTAAAAATCATGCTACATCAAACAGCATTCAAAAACAAGGTAGGAAAAAAAATTCACATTTCGTCGAAGCTTTTTCTTCCTTCTTCGCTTTGTTCTAATTTCGAGCAAGACGGTCGAGCCATGCATTTTGGTTGCCTTAACTTAGCTGACTACTGAAAATCGTTTGAATCCTCTAAGTCGTCAGCAATGGTTCAATTGATCTAGTACCTCGGAAAYTTAAACCCAATACCGTTAATGTCTGAATGTATTATTGGTTCTCCGTACAGAGAAGCATAAGTTCTTTATAATGCTTGTTCGCGGCCGCATTACGTCCTTTGGCCGCGGGACTTCACTTATCAGACATCGCAATTAGCATCGCATTGAACAAATTCATGCATTGTATTGATTTAAATAACATACATTATGATGTTTTACCTTTTTGCAATAAGAAGATCAAGGCGTTTATTTACGTTGTGAAGTACTTCAGTAGTAGATCGTAAAGAAAAATGCAGACAACACCCAAAACACACTTCGTTCAACTAATWTCTTATGCAAGAATACTAAAAATCTATTTTTCTTTCACAGTCTGTTGATTCAGTATCGGACATGGCTTTCCTTATCAGAAGTATATTTTTGCCTTTCGAAACCTTGCCGAAGATTGATAAAGAATAAAGAAAATGTTATATATGTCGTAGAGGCGATCAATGGAAGGTTTTGCCTATAATAATACAACTTGWTGATTCGCAAAAATGATCACGTTGTGCGTGCTCGTCCAATTGTTTCTAAAGAAGTGAAAATATAATCAGGGGCTAACAGCAGGGAATCCAAGATATTCAATGTATGTTTTGTACATTTAGGTCTTACAACGTACGCTAGGTATGTATACTAGCCGACATTATGAAAATTCAAGAAATATTATTTTAATAACGCAATCTTTTCGCTGACGRTTATGCAAATGAGCTTGCAGAAACCGTCTTGCATGATATCATTGTCTCCAGCACCATGACTTGCTTTCGGGTCCCTTTTTTACAGCAGTTTGAATTACGCCTGTTGCTCTTAGGCCTCGACAGCGTGTTTTATATTTAACTAGACGCTCTTGGAGCGTGAAGTCGGACTAGCTATTTTTGAATGTATATCATGGCGTAGAATATTATATTTTTCACTTCTAATACATAGTGAAAGCAAGAATGCGTGACCGTTTATTCACAGCCAATTCTTCGTTTTCATGTGACGTCATCGAAAAACCAAAACCAGAAATAAACATCTTATAACAATAATTTCAAAATATGTTTTAGAAACTATTGAGATGACTAACATGAAAAAGTTTGAAGTCATTTCGTTGTTTCGTGCTCAAGTTATAAGGGCCAAGAGTCTGTCACGCAAGACTGTCACGCGTTTCTTATTAGCGACGAAACTCAAAACTAATTCACCTAAGATGGAAGATTTTACCTTAGGCATGTTCAGAGTATCTATTTTTAGTATATTTCAGTAAAAGATATTGAAATATGTCGAAAAATCCATCATAATTACTCGTGACCTGGGCCTTGGCCRGGTCACGAGTCATAAAATGCAACGCGTATAGTTTTTTTTCCAAGTCAGAAGTTCACGCCTTCGGGTCTCCCGATCGCCCTCCGATCTATCACGAAATATCACATTACGAACTCGGCTGTAAACAATTGTAATAGAACAGTTAACTGCCCGGGAGCTGAGTAGCTTTTATAGTAATTATTTGATATTCGAGGCCTTTTGTTATTCCAAGACATTCATCTGTGTCGAAGCATATATTATGACATTGGTTTAGGTCATCAAGGCTGGTGTATCAAGCCAAAAAATAGTGCATTTTCCTTGGCGAGATGTAAACCGATCGTAGGCTAGTGAAGCCGCAACGTGGCTGTTTGATTCTGAGTTGCATAGCCTAAATTTTCAATATGATGAGGAATTCTGTCTCTCTTCAGGATTAAAGAAAACAATGCTATTCACGCGGGAGTATTCCTAGATGAATATTGAAGCAATTATGGTTTTGTTGAGATCGTTAGCACGGCGCGAACTATCACCGACACTTCGAAAATTGTCTGATTTTCAGGATATTGTGGTTTAATACTTAACCTTTAAATTACTACAATAAGAATAAGTCTATCCATATTTTTACTCTGTTTGACATGAAAGATTATCGGATTGAACGATTTCAGTCACGTCTGYATTCCTTGCGTGATGTTTACCGTGTAGAATTGTCATCTAGTTCCTTCAAAGCTGCTAAATATAGGCGAACAAGTGAAAAGTTTTGTTTTAAATGAGCTCAATTTGAAAAAGTACTGAATAAGCTAGCACTTTTCAACACCTTTAGGTCACGAGTACACCCTGCTGGCAGGGTCTAGTTAGTCTTTGAAGTTTCGGAMATTTTGCTGGTGGTATCGACATATCCACCAGAACGCTTTCGGCATACATTTCTCACTATATAGCGCGTCGTGTTTGATTGTCAATAATTCCGAAACGAAAGGCTCTATAACGTTGAAACTTTACCAGTTTATGTAGTTTTAACAGCTTTACAATATTATAAAGCTTGTATTTTATTACGATGCGAATTTAAGTTCTTGAAAATGATAATCCCTTATATGAAATAAAAGAATACGATATTCTTTTCGACTGCTCTCTGCAACGACTTCAAAACGATAGAAATCTAAATTTTGACCTAAAAGGTCATGTAATTAATACTTAGAGNAAAAGGTGTATTGCATCCTGTGCTAAAAAAGCTGAGCTTTCTTTGGGAGGTTTGGTGACGACTATGATGACGTAGTGTCCTGGACGCATTTTTATGTTTGATCGACAAAAAACTATGATGGCTCATGTAAACAGTTGAATCTAGGCAAGACATAGTTGTACTCTTCTCTATCGCACTCAAAGCTCTCTGTTGTTGGTTTGTTGACATTCGGTTGTTCCGGACACTTCTGTACTTTATCACTTATAATCAACTTTGAGAGCTTTTACAAAAATTGGATTTCGTCAAATCCTCATATTTTTTTCAACAGAAACATCATTTAGTATATGTATTTTTAATATATGTTGGATTTGGCAAGGGTGCATAGGAACTTAGAGTACACACCGTGTATGGAAAAATCTTGGATTTCTCACTGAAGARGAGGGATAACGTTTTGAAACATACATGTCATCACACTCTTCTGTACTCTAAGGATAAAATAGAAAATATGTGAAAAAAGTATGTGTTTGTCTGTCTTTTRCAATTCCTAACGTCAACCCTGCTCAACATCTTTCTCATGGAGAACAAGAATTGAACGACAAAATAAGCACAAAAAACTTGAAAATACAGTTTGCAACGAGATAGTTGAAGATGATAATAAGAGAAACAATGATTCTTGAAAGAGAAGACACGTGTAGTGAAACCACCGTCGTAAGTTCGTACATTAGAAGAGCTGGCTACAGTCATATTAATGATTGTAGTACATCTACTAATAGTGAAAGTAGTATAGCTTATTCAGGTATAAACAAATCCTGGGCTCTCAGATCGTTCGTACTATTACATTTATCAAAACAATGGAGTAGGTATATCAATCGACGGCATTATGCTGTGATAACTATTGTGTCACGTGGTCGACTATCCTTCAATGAATGGAGCGAAGGGAAATTTGTTCTTTAATTATAATTATGAAAAGAGGGTGATATATGCTATTTATATTTAACAATTAGGCAACGAGTTGGAGTGGACAACGAGTTAAAAGTCAATGGCGCCGCACTCGGCCGAGCACTATTAGAGTATCCATCTAACTATAGGAAAAAGACCATTATAAAGATACCCTGGTTCCAGAGGTTTTCTATTCTTGTATATATGTTTTTTTGTTTAGTATTTGTCGTATTTTTTTTTATTATTATTATTATTTTTTTTTTTGCTTTTTAAATTTAAAGACGCAAGAAGAAAACCTCTGGTCGGGACCGTTGAGAATCTCACTTTCATGACACCTGCTTCGAATCGGCGTTTGTGATTGGTGGAAATATCTAATCTCTAAAGCAGCAATATGATTGGCTAGAAAATATACCCTTGGGATATGCATAATTTTTCCTTTCTTCTCATTAGCTGACAAAAAAATGATATATTGGACAACATTCATCCGAAGCGGGTGGCATTAAAGTGAGATTATCAACGGTCCCTACCAGAGGTTATTTTCTTACGTCGTTAAATTTAAAAAGCAAAGACAGAATACGACAAATACTAAAAAAAAAACATCTTTAAAAGAAGAGAAAACCTCTGGAACCAGGGTATATAAAGAACAGGGTTTTTTGCGACATTTTCTCCACTAATTTTGCTTCATTCGATGTTACCTGATAGATCCTGATAAATCATGAACATGAGAATAGTTCAGTAGCCAATCAGAATGCTGGGTTTGTAGTAGCCCATAGTTTGGTGGGATCACTATAAAGTGCTTTATACTCAATATCCACATTTAATGATGGCAATGAACTCTTCACATTCCTATACAAGACACCAGGGGTCATGGGATACATAGGTATATGACTGTTAAAGTAAACGAGCCTTGATTTCTTGTAGTGCTTTATTTATCAATCACAATTGTTGAACTCTTACCATTTCTAATTTCATAATAATAATGACGATTTACTTTTCTTTCGCATGAACAGTTCTAAAAAAGTACCTTTTCAATGTTAGCTCTAAAAATCGGACTTGTCGTTTTCCCTAATAACGTCATGCATGCTTGTTCTGGTGTAGAGTACATAATGATAAAAGCATCAAGATATTGGAGGTCGTATAAAAACTATGAAGGACCATGACGAAGGACAAAATTTCTTTGCAAAATTGACATTGTCCATCATCGAGAACACTCGGGAGCATACTTTCCTGTGAACCCATCGTATCTGATGTTCTTTCAAAGCGTTTTCAAATAGACGTTAATTTCGCAAGAAACTTAGTCCTTCGTAGATTCTATAAGAAGTCCGCCATCTTGATTCTTTTATCCATACCAAGATGCATTTCGCCAAAACAGACATGACGTCATTATGGTAAACGATAAGTATGAAATATATCCTCATCAGATATATCCTAATTCCTAATGCGTAATCTGCATTGCCACGCCTATAATAACAGATATTAGATATTTGGATTGGCTTCTACGGTGAACGGCACAGGTTAAATTTGATTTTGCGCTTTTTTTAGACTGATCGAATTGATATTTTTCCAATAAAAAATGACCCATCCCTCCCTAAATTTTTGTATTTTCTGCAGCTTTGCTCGCAACCTAGCTACAGGATACCGTGGACCGGGCAGGTCGTGAAATACCCGACCGACCGCTAGCCAATCACAGTGCGCGAATGACTAGGGTACCGGACCGAAAAAAAATAATGCAATATATCCTCCGGTAATACTTAGTATATTAGGAATTATTTACTGAGTGCTAATTAACTAACTAACTATCTTTACCTAATCATTATAAAAAATAATCTTGAAAGATTAGACATCAAGTCTAACGATAATTACGATAACAGATTAGCACGTGCGCACTAAAATGTCAGTAAATCATTATTAAAGTTAAAAACAATTTCTCTTCAAAAAGTTTGGAATGCAAGAAAATGTTATTTATATTGTTTCACATGATTTCTGAGTCCTTATGCACCACTGGGTGCCAAGTAGTTCGGTAACGGTAACATATGATTTCTATTACGGTCGTTTCCCCTAATGACGCATTGTCTGTTTTGGGAAAGTACATTCTGGTATTGATTTTAAGAAACAACATGGCGGACTTCTTATAAGATTTTCGAAGGACGAAGATCGACGAAAATAAATAACGTCACCCTTCGTGGGGGGGGGGGGGGGAAGTTTGAGAAGAACACTAAATATGATTTGTACAAAAGGAAGTATGCTCCAAAGTTTTCTCGTAAATTTTGCAAAAAAAATCATCCTTAATCATCATGTTCCTTAGTAGGTTTTATACGACGTCCTCCATGATACTTTTATCAATTCCATAGGGCTCTTGGCGAAACAGACACCATATTCTGTATAGAGTGCTCTCTGATATATACAGTTGACAAGACAATTCTACAAACATGTCTGTACGAGTTGCTGAATCTTTGGTATGAGGGTAATCCAATACAAGAATCATACTTCAATTTTAAGTACAGCCTTTTGCAAAAATTATGAGAATTGTCTAAATATCTAAATATCATAATATCCAAATCCACATATTGTCCGGAACACGCGGGTTTGCTAGAATAATTCATTGTTGACATCGAGAAAATGTTCAGAACTACGGATAAGTCTGTCGCCAAAAAAAACTAAACAACAAAGACAAGGGACTAAGGGCATCGCGCGGGATGCACTTGATATTATGATATTTAGATATTTCAACAATTCTCATAATTTTTGCATAAGGCTGTATATTTTGAGTATAAGTAAATATGGCAATTTACTTTGTACAAAAATACACCACGTCTCCTAATGAGCTTGAAAAGGTTGGACCCTGCTTTACTCGTGGTTCGTCCGTTAACTGCATTTGCTTGCTGCTGACATCTTTATTGACCCTCTCGAGCATGCGCACTACGTCTTCGGTTGAGGCAAATCTACGAAAAATCCTAACTAAACTCTGAATATAGTAACTTCCTGAGTTGAGGTCACGGCATGATATGTAGCCTTTGCTGCAACAAAACGCTTGAAGAATGTTAGTCTTGCAAGAAATAACATGCTCTCTCTCTGAGGACTGTTGATGAATTGCACAACTTTCTTGACTTTCTTTGTTTCCTCTTGGGTCAGCCGGGAAATCAGTAACAGCAACTCCACGGTCCACATCACCTCCTCGACATGCTTGGATGATAAACAACTTGGGTTTCCCGCGGAAGCTCTTGCACATACCGTTTTCGAAGTAGGAGACAATTTCCTCGTATTCAATTGCTTGACCCTCAGATGTATAGAAAACACCCTTATCTCCATGGCTCATTATGCAGAGAACAAAGCAATCCTTGTCTTCATACTTTTTGTGAAAAGAAATGTTCCGAAGCTCTTGTTTAATTTCCACTGCTCCATCTTTGTTACTGAGATTCACAACTTCGAAACCAAAGTAGTCGCCAAACAATTCAACCATTGCTTTTTCATCGTACTCTGAGCCAATCCGATCTGATAACTTCTTTAATCTCTGATCAAATTTTGCAATGTTGATAACCACAAATAAACCATTTGAGACACGCACATCTAAATAAGAACAGAGATGAAAGATAATGATTCATGAAATGATAAATTACTACGAAGTTTCTCAACGCTTCCAATACACCTTTTCAGTTGCACTTAGGCCTCCATAGCAAGTTAATTATTCTATTGAATTTGGCAAATGAGACTATTCATATCAATGTTTGCATGGCTCACATTCCTTCAAATTAAAAAGAATATTTAACAAGCTGTCGAGGCCTAAGAGCAACTGAAAAGGTGTAATACCTCCTATAACACTTTGGCGATCCGAGGGCTCGATCTGTTGATTGATTAAACGCGTAGAATATTCATTAGCACAAACTCAAGAACTATGTTTAAACAGTCAAGTATACAAATACACAGCAATGTCTTCTCTAGTCAAACTCAGTCTACAAAACACTAGAAGGCGCATAATGTGATGCCAATACTCCAGTTTCGAATTCATAGCGAAAAACCGCTGCTCTATTTGACAACAGATTGCGCAAAGACCTGACCAAACACAAAAGAGAGCACAAGAAAATGTCGTTATTACAATAGCCTTAGTTGAAAATTTGCATTTTCCCCGATTTGAGACTAACCTTGTGTTCCCATAAGACCTAAGAGGTATGAGCCTTCTGGGAATACAGGGTTAGCCTCAACTGTAAAATGTAAATTGTTAGCACAATAAAATTAAAATAAAATTTTCTCGTGCTTTCTTTTGTATTGTGTAAGGTCTTTGTGTAAGAGAATCTGATGTCAAATAAAACAGCGGTTATTCGCTTTGAATTCGAAACCGGAGTATTGCATTTTAATTTTTGCTTAAAAGCATTTGTACGGATCAAATTTTGTCTGAACAGGAATGGTAGCAAAAGTTATATGCAAGGTATGAAAACTAAAATCGAAAGCAAAATTCTATTGAAATCTGTCAGCTGACCTCACTATCCCAGAGTATCATATCAAAACTCACGGTTGGTCTCGAAAACCAATGATGTAGTCCCAACACCTCTGGCCATTCATCTTTCTCTTCGCAACAAAATTCTTCATCGTCAGTGGTTGGATGCAGGCAGTTGTCGTCTCTAAAGAGGTGTCCTTCTGCTTTACCAGTAGCGTTCACTGCACACAATGGACATCTAATGCACAAGTCATACTGTAGGCCTTGGTACCAAGGACACTTTTCTGTTAAGCTGTCCAAGCTTTCCTGGACTAACTGTTTTATCTCAACTGCCTTGAAATCGATCCCAGTTTTATTTTCGCGATTCGAATGCAGACATACCTTAATGGTGCTCTTGCAGCATACGACTGTCATGATGACTTTAGAATTCTTATCCAGAACAAATTTGGCAGCATTACGAAACAACTTAGGCTCTTTCTGAAAAAGAGTCTGTTGTTTCTGAGATCCATATATGGAGCACCATCTGCAAATCAGTTGGAAATATAAACCGTGTGGGATGAATCCGTCCTTAAAGCGGATATACAACGGACAGGGTTCGTCTGAGGATGGCTGGCACTTTWTTAGTTCKTSCTCGGGTGATGATGTCAGGTGYGAGGGAACCAAATRACAATAGCCGTCCTTCTGATTACTTGGGATTATTTKGGMAATCAATCCAAAATATTCCATCATATCTAGTATGTCTTTCTTTGCGTCGTCCCTAGCTTCCGAAAGTTCTTGAAAGACGTGATTGATAAGGTCCGTATGCAATCTTCCAGTTTCTGCCAGCTCTCTCCAAAACTTTCGATGCCTAGGTTTCTAAAGGGTAATAATAGACCTATTTTAAGCAATAAAAATGTAAAAAAATATATTTTGCGCTCGACCACTGTCGTGTCGCAAAAAACCGTCCCAGTGATTGATGACAGAGCCGTTCACTTTTAAGTGAAAAATGGTCTGTAAAGTAGAGTTGTTTTTAATATAGGATTGTGCACAACTTACAGTTGTGTGTAATAGGTGTTTGTCGTTACGATTAATGTATTTGTCATACGGGTGAGATCTCTGCCAGAGCTGTGAAAAGCATGTGTTTGTCATATTGACATTTATCATAGTATTATTTATGAAATACCTATATTTCGTTTTTTTGAAAAGTTAATATTTTCACTAGTGAAACTAACATTTACTAAAGTGAAAATAACACATTCGTATTTTACGACATAATTTGCTTTCATATATAATTATACGATTAACAGAATATTACATGTACGCTTGGAGATATGAATTTTATCTTCTCGTATTGAAAATCTCGAGATTGCCGCAAATCCGTATCTTCACGCCCATGTAATATCCTCTATATCTGCAATATGAAGGTGCTAGTAATTAATCTGGGTGCCAGTCATTATAATGTAATATATAGAGGATATTACATGGGCGCGCGGAGATATGGATTTTATCTTCGAGTGTTGAAAAGATTTCTCACGATTGAGCGTAAAGAACGAGTGTCAGATTTTTAACACGAGAAGATAAAATTCGTATATCCAAGCGACCATGTAATATTCTTTTTATTACATAATTGTATACGAAAGCAAATTATGTCGTAAAATACCTTTTTTCTTACTTCCACTATATAGAGAGAAACCTCGAATGTGTTGTTTTCACTAGTGCAAATAACATGTTATTTTCACTTGTGAAAATATAATTTTATGAAATGGAGAAATATAGGTATTTCATAGATAATTATATTATAAAAATGTAAATTTCCTTGAGATAAATTCGAATGAATACAACATATTAACATTGAATTACCACTTCATCAGGTTCAATAGTAATAAGACTTTTGAACAGGTTAATCAACCACTTAGCGTCGAGTACAACTGTGTCACCATACTTGATAATGATGCCAAGATCGTGGTAGAAGTTCAACATGGCGGCGATCTCCGTCTGATCAATAGAGCAAACCTGCTCTGCGATCTCTGAAAGTTCTTTAACTGACAGAAATGGTGTCTTCTTTTCTTGTACAAGTGATTGCAAAGCCTGCGAAGAAAAAATAAATGGAATAAATTGCAATAAAATACATACTAAGCTGCAATGCAGCATTGAAAAACTATAATTTGAGAAAAAATTGCCTCCATGATCAAGATTCGACAGCTGTTTACGTGATAAACTTTCTTGTCATCAGATACTAACAAAGACTCTTGTTTCAATTAGCATGGAAACTTTGAGACAATGTCATTTTTTTCTTTAAATAGCAGAGCTGATAGTTGAATTGAAATTTCATTGAACACTCAACGTTCCACACAAATGATTGTCCAGTAGTTCAGCTAATTGTCTATTGATACTGATGAATGGCATCAATAGAGATGATCGCTATTGAAAGTCGTTTCGCGCCAATGATGTCACTTGCAGTGTTCAAGAAAGTACAATAAAAGTTGTTGATTATCTCTTAGCACAAAATGAATATACGCTTCACGTTCATGAACAGAAAAAGGTGTATATAGCAATATATTAGAAGAAAATCCTTAGTGTTT